CATTAGAAACTAAAGGAGCCTGGACACACCTGGAGGAATAGCAGATAGCAGACACTGCATACATCACTTCTGAAGAAACCAGACAACAATAGGGTGGATTCAGAGAGGCCTGATCACAAGATAACCAGAGGCTGATTTTCCAGCAGGCTCGAGCTGTCATAAATGAATTATGTGAGAAGAAAGAAAAAGTCTGTTCATCTGAGACCAAAGCTGGACAGACAAATCAATGAGCTACTGGTGACAAGATGCAAAAAGTAACACATATGAATTTGCTGTGCTAGTGGAGCTGAGATTTACACAGAATGAGGCATGTCTCAAAAAGCTGAATTATGTAGTTATCTCTACAAATATGTTAAATCAAATTATCATCATCTCGTTAATGCCAAAAATCCTGCAAATCCAATACTGACATTAGAGCTTCTGCTCACTGATTTGCAGCACTGCCTGCAATGGCCTAAAATAACCAGGGATACTAAAATGATAGCTACCTTGGTATCAAGAAAATGACAAAATCTTTATCAGGTTAAAAATCTAACATTTCATGATATAAATTGTCATATTTTCAAAGCCTACGTGGAAGTGTTTTATATTGTATGTACCGTAAAGCCCTCTGAGAGTAGAGTGGACGACTCGAAATTTGTCAGACGAATCAGATTTGGCTGTTCAATACAAGTAGAGCTAATTTGGTGATCCACACTCATGGTGCTGCTATTGTGCATCTTGGCTCAATGGAAAGACTCTGTTACACTAAATGTAATATAATCTTAATTAGTATCATTGGCAGCGCCTGTGTTTACCCTACTATTTCATGTCAAAACGGCTGATGTTATTAAGGTCTATTATTAAGCTAACTTGACTCAACTCAAGTGACTGGGTATTTAAGTCCATTCATTTTAGTTCACTTCACACAGATCCATGGCCTGTACAAATTTCATACCATCTTCTCAAAATAATTCGATTTTCTAGGTTTTATGTTGCTTTCATGTCATATAGATGTCTGCATTTTTTTGGTTCTTTGGGGACAGAACTCCAAAACATTCTATTGTAGCTAGCTACTATTACATTGGGGCAAACCATTGCACATCCAGCAGAAACAGAGAAACATTCATTTGGAGTCATGTTAAGACCAGATGAAGTCCAATATTCATTGTCCTAGCTCTTCTTTGGTCTCCACAAACTACTGAAAAATATATTGGCCTGCTGCAACTGGAAACAAGGATGCTGAGAGCGGTGAGAGTGAACCAGAACAGTAAGGCTGTGGGCCGTAGTACCAAAGCAGTGAGCTAAAAGAATAGATGCTATAACTCCACGTAGAGTCAAAGGGAAATGCACAGTCGAGTGACAAGTGGGTTACACAGTGTACGTGCTTTACCAGGTGAGCTACCGTGCACCCTGCTTCTGAATGTTTCTACAATGTATTTGATTCGGTGGTAAATGGCACAGAAGTGTCTGGAAGGCAGTCCAAGTCTATCACTCAAGGTAACTGATGTCAGGATTGTGCACATAATTTGTTACCTCCACATGGCCAGCTCTGCCTGTCAAACGGCAGGAAGCAATCACCATCTTGATGTGATAACTTAGTCAAAACGAAGAAAATCTTCCCCATCACTACCTTCCACCTGACATGATGTGAATGCTTAATCTCTTTGGAATGACACATAGCTAAAGTTAATAGGAGGAAACTCTACTGAACAAACCCAAAGGAAAACTCAAACTAAAAGATGAGAAATGATGAAGACATCAGAATATTATACATCAGAGAGAGCATGTTCTCTGAAAAATCTCTTTTATACGGCTCTATAAGTGGGAAATTACCATTTAAAAAAAACAATGCCCATGTGTGGGTGTATACAATGACAGTTAAAATCTGAGGTGTTTAGTGCTCACCTATTTTATAGACCACAGACAGTTGGTTCGATTTCCCGGTCTTACAGACTTCAGTCTTATTAAAGAAGATTACGTTCCTCTTTTATTTCCTGCACAAATGCTATAAGTCAGGAGATTGATTTGATTCTGTTCCAAAAATTCACCTTCACAGATTACTATCATCATATGCAGAAAACACATTTATGAACTTATTTACTTTTGTCTTCTGTATTTCTGAGTGGATTCCACCAACCTGCCAAATGCAGTTAAGATTTAACAACTTGGGAGATGGAATTAAACTACAAATACAAATAAGCAGGTGTCCTGTGCAAGGAATGACGGTGTGTCCAAGCACGCAAGGTATTTTTTAATTTGTATGCGTATAGTGTGCTAACAGGTAAGTGGGAAAAGATACAGCCTCACAACCCTTCAACTAATTGTGCTTACTGTTCCGTAGTTAATGTGCATCTGATCAGCTGATCCATTTAGAGATTAAAGAGAAATTTGATTTAACAACTGTAGAGGCTCTGGACCTGCTATAGGTCACAACCACAGCCGTGTGAATAAATAGATGTGTGAAAGGTTATAGCTTTTATAGCCAGCCAGCCACACTGAAATGTCAAACTTTATGGATACAATACAACACATCAGCTACTTCACCTAATCTTCTGAGTACCAATCTATAATATACTGCCTCAATGACCATGTTTTGAATAGACTTTCTTATTAACATCTGGCAACTGAGTTTCAAATAGAGACTGAGGGTCATAAACACCTCGTAACAAGGCATTATGTTAGTGTCTGGACTCCTGCATTAGGGTAAGAACCTTAAATATTGACATTAAACAAAAAAAGAGAGACAAATGCAGTATTTCAATAACAACACCTGTATTGCATTATCAGAAGGCACTAAATCAAACAATCTCAGAGGAAGCTGGAATTGTGAGAAAAAGTTGGCTTAACATTGTTAGTATGCAGGCACAGTTGGCCATGTTTGTAAAAGCTTGATAAGCAGTCCAACACAACTCAGCAATTTTGAAAAACCTCAGGTGTGGGGGATGTGTGTGTATATCTGAATGACTGTATAATTAATAATGGATGTAGTCTCCATGATGTCACTTTAGAGGTTTCTAAAGAGCTGTTGTGAAGCTAAGTGTGGTCAGCTCTGGCCATCGCCATCTTGGCAGTGCCTGAGTCACTGGCTTCTGGCTAATCCAAAAATTGGCTAATACTTTAAGCGTGGGGGAAGCTGAGGCTGGCTGAATTGAAGCCTGGTTCCTAAAACCAGCTGCCTGTGACGGCACCCACCTGTCAAAGCGACCATGTTCTTAATTATGCACAACTGTAAGCCTTAATATAATTGAAATGGGTTCTATACAAATTCACCCCTCATATGGTTGTCCTGAACAGGGAATTTAGCTATAGACCAAAACCATTTTTTGTACATGGCTGTAAACATGTTTGCTTTTTCTCACTTACTTCTGTAGTACTCTAGTGGCCGTTTTAAGAACTGCAGTTTTTGTTACTTCAGTATTGGCTTCATTTGCCTGCCAGAGAGGTTACCGCTTGGTATATGAGGCCAAAACTGAGACAAAAGGGGGGGAAGGGAAAGGAAGGTTTTGTTTTAAAAAGCGTGGGCTGACTTGACACGTGTCCCAAGTGATTCCCGGAAAATTCATGTGCTTGTGAGCCTGACATCTGAGACTTACTATTTGGCTGCCAAATAGCTTCGCAAGCTAGATTGAAAATATGAAAATATGGGTGCATGATGCATTTAGAATAAGGCTATGAATATTAGTCTACATGTAATTCCCAAGAAAGGAAGGTGTTTTTAACAGCACATGAATCTTTCCATCATCTTTCCAGCTGACTTTGTTACCACACTACGGTACTTTGACAAAGAACAGATTTTTTGTTTTTTGTTTTTCAACTCTTTCATTTGTTGGATCACTAATTTTGCCCTTTTTATTCCCTTATATTGTTTGTTTTGGATTGTTAACTATCTATTCTAAAACGAATCACGACATCCTTTCAACAGAAGTCTGTATTACGGATTACATTATGCCTCACAATAAAAATATTTTAAACAAAATCATATGTTCCGAAAAACCTTTGGTGTACTTTGGTTAGCTGTGATGTTGGTATTCATGATTTAAATGGACCAAATAAAGCAAAAACTTGTATTGTATTTTCACTGGATTTGTTTAAAGTTGATTCAGCCTGTGCTTATGACATTAATGCAACGAATATTTAAATGACTGAATAGATTGGATAAATAAATGAAACCTGCCACTGGTCAGATTCCATATTTTGCAAGTCTATGGGCAAAAATTAGACTTTGAGTGAAATATGACATTCTTCTATTTAAAAAGTTTGTGTCAAAAATTAGAAGTCAAGACTTTTTAATGTCAACTTTAAGTTAGGGGTTACAGTGAGAGTCGGCTTGAATGAAAGCATGTTATTGGAGTTCCAGCCATGGTTATGGTTTCTGCATAAGTGAATGGAACCGAGGCCCTCCTGAAGCAGTGGATCTCGACTGGGTGAGTTTGCCTTGTGTTACACTCGTGATTGATTGCATCACTGCAGTGGAACGAAGTCGGGTGTCAGGGCTTTTATGGGCGACTACAGTACAGTGGTGTTAAATTTCAATAGATATGCCCTTGGCCACATAGGCAATAATACTACCCAGTCCCTACGCGCGCGCACACACACACACAGACTCACACAGATTTAATTTATGCAAAACATCAAAATAATTTCTTTTGAGGACAATAGTTGTTCAACGTTCCCTTCTTGATTGTACAAAAAAGTTGATTTGAAACACCGGTTTTCTTTTTTTTAACCATGTTTAGTGGAGAATAACTAATGTAAGACAAGACACCCACTCAGATGGCTTCACAGCGTGCCAGTCTGTTGGCACAAATATCAGAAAGGTACTACCACACCTGTGCTGACATCACCTCATTCCATAAGCTCTGATTTCGGGTCCACCCTAAACACACTGTATGTCAGGTCTCTCTGTGTGTGCGTGTGTGTGTTTACCCCCTTTCTTTTCTCAGCCGGGTCCTCCTAAAACTAATTGCAGTTTCTTTCTCTCTCTCCCTCTGTGAGTGACAGCGAGGATTTCGCTTCGCCCGGAGCGACGTCACACCAAGGTGGAAGAAGACGAGCGCATTTTTTCCTCCCTTTATCATCCAAGGAAAACACATCGACAGACTGTGGCACACAGACGCCTCTACCTGCAGCCGGTGCGCACCGAAAATTACTTCACCAAGTTCATCAGTGCGTGAGTTCACAGCGCGCAGACAACGACCATCCAGAAGCACCAAAAACACCCAGGGAGGCGGCAGTGCTCTTCTTCTTCTTCTTCTTCTTCTTCTTCTTCTTTAATATCATTGTTCTAATTATCCCCCAAAGAGTATTGAGACTCTGCGTGTCCTCCCAACCGGAGCTGTTTCTGTGCGCTGTTCCGCGGTCAGAGAGGACGTTTGGACTGTTCGGAGTCACGTCTCGTCCCTCAGAGCGTTTTGAAAGCATGTAATGTGCTGCGACAGATGGAGCAGAACGACAATGAAGAGGTTAACCACACCTTTGAAAGCGGACATCTCTTCAGTAGCCTCTTGACCAACTTTCTTGCGCATTAAGATGCGCCCGACAGAAGAGGATTTGGATGATGAACTTTTTGCGCTCTTGTTGACAGACAGTTTCCAGTGAGCTTCTGCTGAGTGTACCGCCAGGAATCAAGGACCTCCTATGTATTTAAGAAATAATCCGACTCGGTGTTGTCTGAGCTCGTCAGTACTTTAAACTTAGCTGGGGAATCTCCTGGAGGATTCGCTGCGTTCATCATGACGGTTCGTCTATCACGGATCCAGCTGGCCCTGTTCTTTATCTTACTCTGTCCGGTCAATATCATCGGACTTTGGTGGTAAGTGCTATGTATTTACCATGTGTCTCTGTCAACCCGGGACTTAAATGATCTCACCCGACTTAGTTTTATTCCATTTCTCTCAAACATGAGGCATGCTCGTCTTTTCTATATTTATCCACAGCACCATCACTCAGCATTAGCTTACCGGCTTTTCACCCAAATACTCAGGATAGCCCAGAAACAATCTGCGTTCCCCTTTGGAGTCTGGTCCAAAGACAAATATAATCATCATTTTGAATCCAGGTTGCAATAGCGTGATGCAAAAAAAAAACGTTACAAATCCATAACAAATGACTAAATAAGCAGACAAATCAGTCATTTAAACATAAAGCCTGTTACCTAGCTGTAACAAATACATGTATTTAATATTGTTTCCACCCCCCAAAGCAACAAATTTTTATTTTTTATGTTTTTCTATAACATTAAATTAAACTAAGATACATACTTAATATAATGCAATAGAGATAATGGGCCAAAAAAAAAATAAAAAATTCAACAATTCAAAATATGTCTGGGAAATATGGGTCCCCAGGACATAGAAACAGAAGCAGGGTGGTGAGAGAGGTGTCTGCTGTTCATTGCCTGCAGTGATACATGGAGGAGAGAGGAGAGGGAGATTGGTGGAGGTGGTGTGTGTGTGTGTGTGTGTGTGTGTGCCTGTGTGTGTGAGAGAGAGAGAGTGAGTAGTGGGGGTTCAGAGTCTGGAATGTCAGGTGGCCCTCTAGGCACAGTGGATATGTCATCATAAAACAATCCATATGGGTTCAGGTCCGCAAGGTGTGTGACAGTCGGACAAACAGACAGACAGATAGACAGCTCCTGCAGATCTGCTGATAACATATTTTCTATCCATGTGGGTCTCTGTTTGTCTGTCTGTCTGTCTGTCTGTGTAGTACGTTTGCAGTCTTGTGTGCTGTGTTTTATTTGATGACATCCAATATTTCTGGGTTTCTTTTCATGTGTCTCTTTTACACACACACACACACACACATACACAAACTTCTCCAAAGCGGCAGTGTTTGAATGTGAAGCTTTGTGATTTTTTTTTTCCAGCGAATCCTCCCACTGTTCATTCACAGCCCAGTCAAGGTCAATGTGGGTTGTAGTGTCAGAGAGGCTGTGTAAGTCTACTGAATGTCCTTGTATGACTGGCAGATAGATCGGCTGCTTTAGAGAACGCGTCGCCCCAACCAGCTTTTCCATTATTCTGTCACTTCACATGCAATCAATACATAGGAGGTAAACACAGGTAACCTAGGATTTAATAGAGTTTCCATCAGTATATACAGAATTCATTGGATATGGAATGTAAAAAATGACTTTCACTGTTGCTTTTGTTGAATTACTGAGTGAATGTAAGGACCTCTCCTCCTGTTGTAAATGTAGGGTAAACATTGTGAACTGATGGATCAGCAGGATGAATGCTCAGGCTACAGGGTGGCGCAGTATGGAGAGAAACCATACGATGGAGGTTCAAGCTCTCCTGTCAGAAAGAATATTACCTTCTTAGGTGTCACTGAACAAGAAGCTAAGCCTGCGTCCACACTAAGATGGCTAAATCTGAAAATAGATAGATAGATAGATAGACTTTATTGATCCCAAGCTGGGAAATTACAGTGTAGCAGCAGCATTACACACAGTAACAACAGTAACAATACAATAAGTAAGGAGAACAACCTAGACA